GTTTGCAATAATCGCAGGGAATTCAATGAAATAAAACTCGACCCTAAACTGTATCCGGCCAACCTAATACATAAGGAGATGAGCTGCCACTTTTTCGATTTCGGCATTTTATCGTCTTTTTTCTAAAAAAATTGTATACTTTTCTATGGGGATTTTTAAGTTCATTTTTTTAATGACTTGCGAGACTTTAAAACTCCAATTACTGGCATCCAAGGTAATACTGAAACAACAGAATTCAGTAAAATTCAAGACAACATCCTCACTTGTTGTACTAATCGAAGAGTTGTTTTCTTTGGAGACATCGCCGAGTTAACAAAAACATATACTTTTTATTGCACAGCCAAGCATTTATTAGATGCGTTTTATAAAACAAATACAAATCCCATAGAAAAGCATACAAATTTTTTTAGAAAAAAGGCGATAAAATACCGAAATCGAAAAGGTGACAGCTCATTTCCTTATGTAAGTTTTCAACAAGGTCAAACAGAAATCTCAATATCGATCGGACACTTCTGACGGCTCCCCTCGTAAACTGGATAAAGCCTAGCGCCTATAGGTAGGTAGACCACCTACCTGTAGGTAGCAAGGGGTAGACGGCACCTTAAAGCTGTCGCGGCTAGCCGGTCCACGCAAGAAAATCTATTAACCCTAACACCTACTGTACTCTCCTTTGACTTATTAAGTTAAATGATGAACATAAAGATGGTGATATTGTAGTCGAACCTCAATCCGAATCATTGATTTTAGGGGAAAAAATTGTAAAGTATCAAAATTATCACCTTGAATAATGTAAATGAAACTGCCAATCATGAAATAAATTTCATATTCAATCAACCTTTAAAACAAAAGCTTCCCTCACAATACAAACCAAAAACAAGATCCATTGAAAAGAAACATTGACCATTTTGTTACCTAAAAAGCAAACTATCAGATAAAACTATCAATATAACAGGTAAAAGCCCAATTTACATTTCCTTTCCACTCAACAATCAACTAAACTCTGAAGCGATCAGTTTTTAAGCGACAAAAAAAACAGGTAAAATGAGCAACAGCTAAGCTTACCTGAGAGTTTGTAAAGGCTTTTAATAGCAAAACAAAAACCTTTCCCGACTAGTCGATGGTTTTTATGATTAAAAATGAGTTCAACTAAACCATGATAATATTGATGATAATGATGATGGAAATGACAAAAATGAAGAGAAGGAGAAAGAGAGCAAAAAAACCTTTTACTTTATTTAAAAACATTCATTGTTGTTGTCTTGTTGACTTCCGGATCATTTAAAACATTTATTGTTGTCTTCTCAGTTTCCGGATGATTCGTGATTCATGGTGACGCTGGTTCACGAAGATGAACAAGATGTGCTCAGAAAGAAGACGAATTGATGAAAGAGAGAAGTTGAAAAATGATGAGAAAAGAAAATGATGATTAAAATGATGAGGTGGACGCGTGTTTCCATCTCGAAACGTCTCTTTTACTTTACTGTGTTTTTGTGTCTTTCACTGATCACTTAACCATACAAGTAAAAATATGGATAAACGCGTGTTTACCACTTTTCCCCTCTTAACGTGTGTCTCGCCATTGAACCATAAAAGGGAAAGGAGGAGTTGATGATGATCATTCTCATCATCATTTTTGGCCGATCAAGATGATCATCATCATCAACAACAACATCTTTATAATATTAATGAAAGTAATCTTTTTTTTCCCATGGATGGTTAATTTGGTTTGATGAATAGCAAAAGTTAAATGGCAATCATGTTTTCATGTCTAATAGTTAGGTTAAGAAATGCCTAAATAGTGAAAACAAATTTCGTTCTAATTGTTATTACAACAATTAACCAAAGTAATCATTTGTTGGCCTAATAGTTGATACTGGAGGAAAAGGTTTATTGTTTCTCATCATCAGATTGAAACAGAAATCAAAGTCGAAACACTTTTCCTGTTGATTTCACCTTTGACATTAAATACCTTGTAAACCTTTATCATTTAGCAAGTGGAACTGTTGAATAAGGCTCATTTCATTCCTTACATAGTCGTAAAGGTTTGTGTTAGTTTCAATGTTAATCAAGAGAAACTCACAAATTACTATTCCTATTCAATCTAATTTCACCTTTTATTCCCTGAATTTCCTCTGTTTTTCACCAACAAACTCGACTTTCTTTTTCCTCTCCCCATTTGGTCCTCCGCCCTCCTTTCATGTTCATCCTCCCTCTACTCTCTCTCTCTCACTTTCCTATCTCATCTTCATTCCCATCTTCATTCCCATCTTCATTCTCATCTTCATTTGCTTTTTTTTCATGTTTCCACATTTTCCCTCCTTCTTTCTCTTTCTCTCAGTCTTTCACTTTTTCCTTTCTCTCTTCTTTCAGTCTCAACCTTTCATAGACCCCATCGATTAACCATTTTATTGTACAAGAGACTGTAGACTAGATCATCGTCATCAGCTCCCTTTGACTCTCTTAGTGTGTTTAGTTAAGTGTAACATCACTTGTACTTTTAGCATCGTACTTTTATCCGTCCTCATTATCATCCCAACAACATTATCAAAAATTTTTATTCCAATTTCAACCCAATAATTAGTCTATTGTCGCCATCATTTGCTGATTGAAAATTCAAACATTTTTGCCAACATTTTTTTCTTGCCCATCTTTTCACCAATCTTTATCTTTCTCTCTCTCTTTACTTGACCGTCTCATCATTTGCTCTTGTCCACATTTGTTTATTTTTATTTTCACTCGACAATGTCCATTCCAAGGGAACGTTGTTCATTAGAAACAGATTTTGATAGTAAAGTCAAACTAAATTCTCCTATCCAACGATGTTCACCCATCTCATCGTCTTCATCACCACTATCTTCCTCGTCTTTATCTTCATCTTCCTCCTCCTCTTCTTCTTCCTCTTCATCAACCACCTCCTTATCGACCAACACAAAACCCAAAGTATCATGTTCACCATCCAATTTACCCTCATCCACAACGTCAAACATTAACTGTGATGATCTCACTTCAACCGAGTGTCAACCCTCATCATCATCTTCAACCTCACCAGGAACAGTTGCCCTTAACGGTCACCCTCAACATCATCCCCAGGCTCAACATCAACGGATCCAAGTAAAGCTTGAAGAAGGCTCAAGACCTTGTATAACCTCAACGGTAACTCAACCACCATCAAGCGTATCAAATCAACCAACAGCCAGCCTTAGTTCAACGTACACCAAAAATGTTTTGCCCAGTAATTCAATTTTAAATTCAACCATTTCACCTTCAACTTCATTCCCAGATTATCGTGAATTTGATTCAAATATGTGTTTATACAAGTGCAATATAACAAGTGATAACCATCGTTTATACAATTCAACTAATAATACCAACTCTACTGGTAATAATAATATCACCAACAACAGTAATAGTAATAGTAATAATAATAATAGTTCAACTAATAATAATATTGACCTATACCATTCTCATCATCCTCATCATCGTTTCCATCACCATCATCCAAGCAATTCAATAGCTTCTCCATTGATTAACCATCATCATCATCATTCAACTTCTTCTTTCCTCAACTCTGATCTAGTTAAACATCAACCATCAACACTGACCTCACCAATAGCCTCAACCACTGCAGCCCTATTAACAGGCAACACTTTAAATTGTTCACCAACCCTGTCCAACAGTCACAACCTGAGTCTCACAAATGGTACCAACAACAGTAACCAAAACACGTCAAACACCAACTCTAGTTTAACCAACACTACAATTGGTATCAACAATCTAACCAACAATTTACCAGGAAACAATTTAAACCATTCACCACAGGAGACAATTACAAATCTTCACAATTCCCATCAACATTTAATTAACTTTACTCCAGCCAACAATCATGTAACATCTAACCAAGTCAACTTGACCAATTCAAATTCAAGTAACATTACATTGAGTGATTTTAATCGTCTAATCAAAAATGATCGCCTTGAATCTAAACTAATGGATACAAATGGTTCGCATCTATTGACCATGTCAAGTGAACGTTACATACGGTCAACACCATTCCCATCAAGTTACCATCCAAGTTGCCCAAATTTCACCGGATTCACTGATCCACCAAATTGTAAGTAAAATCATTTCTTTACTAACAAGGGAACACACCCAAGTATGAAATTGATATAGCGATTTTATTGGTCACTATCGGTTCTTCAGACCTTGATAAAGACTAATACGGGGTGTTAGAAAATCAACTAGACCTGTTTGAATGTTAATAACTTCGAAATAGCTGGGCCATTTATTTTATTTTTAGTATCATTAGAAAGCTGAAAGTCCAACTTAAAAAGATTTGTTCATTTTCAAAAGGAAAATTCTAGGGCGAACTACCAATTCCATACGATGCAAAAAATTGTGAAAATTTTAGGTGAAATTTGAAGCAATTTTGTGTTAATTTTACTATGGGATGAAAATTCAATAATAGGGAAAATTTTTACTAGATAATTAATTGAAATAAAAAGTTGCAGCATATTTTTCGACATGTATCTAAGATTCTTTTGACCTTAAAAAGTAAGAAAAATTCGAGTCCGAAATCAATGAAAAATTCGAAAATCCAAAACAGAAAAAAAAATAGTTTTCGCCCATTTTTGAGAGCTAGAGTTATGCGAAAGTTCTTTTTTCTATTTTAATATGTTTTCTAGTCGAAGACGATTCTAACAATATATCACGAGTCTGTTTACTCTGCTTGGTTCGAAAAATATTGAAGCGCAAATAGGTCTAGTTGATTTTCTAACGCCCTGTATATCGAAATAGCTGCCACCTTTTCGATTTCGGCATTAAATCGCCTTCTTTCTAGAAAATTTTGTATGCTTTTTCATGAGGCTTTGTATTTGTTTTATTAAATGCATCTGATGAATGCTCTGATTGTGCAATAAAAAGTATATGTTTCTATTTCAACATTTCAAAGTTTAAAAAATGAACTTACAAATCCTCATAGAAAAGCCATTTCTAGGCTACAGTGTTAGTTGAAATATAAGGATCATTTTGATATATTTTTTTGTGATTGGATTGATTAAGTATTAAATCAGAAAATCGACCTTAACGTATAATAAACGATAAACGTATTGAAATTGATTTCACAACTAGTCTCAGTATTGTTAGGGATAGACTATTTGTTGGGGTACAACAAAGATCTTTATTTTAAATGTTTCCACTAGAAGTCGATCGACTTCTTGTAAAGCACCAAGGAAAAAGATCTCGATCACAAAGGCTTAAGAAATTGAATCTCAAGAAACTCAGAACTTGTAATTACTTAAACATAAACTTTATTAAAGATATTGAATTTAAACTGGAAGAGGTCACACTAATTAGAAAGGGGAACTAGACTTGTCTGTAATTAGACTTAACAACTACAAGGGTGAAAGACAAGTGAAGAGAATAGGAAAAGGAAGAGGCTTTATACGGTCACTAAGAAACAGTTTAAATGAGCGTAATTCAAAATTGACAAATGAATGAAAAGTAAGATAAGAAAGATTAAATGTAAGATAAAGAAAGGTTGAAAGTAAGGTTAATGGGGGAAGCAAACAGTCGTACGACTGTTATCCCTTACATATTAATAATGTAAAGTTAGGGTCATCCATTCATTCCTTCCCCTATGTTAATCTTAATTGTCATTGGCTAGCTCAAGTGATGTCATTGATAATAATTTGTATAAATACCCTTTTCAAAGTAAGACACAAGTCAGTTGATATTATGTTTCTCATTAAGTAGTTGCTCTCAACTCATTTACTCATTTCTCAGTTGTTCCCCTTTTACTAAGTAAGTTTAACCTTATGTTTCCCCATTTGATTTAAATTTATTTATTTCTTATTTTGATTTAACCCACCGTTTCTAAATTTACATTTCTCTAATAAAAGTAACTTTGATTAAGTATTGGTATCTCGAGCAAGATTTATTTATGGACTAAGGTTTTTTATGTACATCCCTTACAGTATCATGAACTTTCTTTGTATCAATGTGGTGAAATTCTTGAGGCTGTAGAAATTTCAGAACTCAATGTTTATCAGGTAGACAAAAGACTCAGGAATAGTGAAAGAATAAAAAATTATGTGAATTCTGGTCAAAGGGCCAAAAAAATGAATTCAAAATTTATAGCGCGTTTTCTAACATTGTCGCTAGATCGGCTCAATACCAGCGGGTTTAGGCCTCAAAATTTAATTCTAGTTTGTCTTATTGTCAATATTTAATGAAAAAGCACAAAACAAAAGCATGAAAACGTAGGGATAAGCCCAAATCAGCGTCCGAACAAGAAGAGAGGTTGCAAACTTTTTATTAGGTCATCCGGCATAGTTTTCCCCTCGGTATGAAGATGCGATTTTTGAGTGACGAATTCAACGTTTTCAGATTCGCCGGACATGAAAACATCACAGCCATCATCATCAACGCAGTACCTTATCATTCTTTTGTTTTATCCATCAACAACTGACAATTGTTTCAAAAAAATTTTAATTTGTGCAATCATTCAACTTCGAAAAATGACTATTACTCGTAGAAGCTAGATGAGAAATTTATTGTTTCTGTGGCATTGTAAAGCCATGATATGTGTCTGTTAAACGATGCTGAGAATGTTCTTTTAGAGTCAATACAACGGCATCAATAGCAGTCAGAACGCAGTACAGCTTGAAAATGGGGTTAAGGACTTTGCATTCGAATTTTAAGGATTGGGTTGATAGATAGCGATCAGGTTTCAGCTTAGAAAGTTTATCGAAAGTCTAAAGAATCTTTCAGTACCAGGTAATACCAGTACCATTCAATAGGTCGCACCTTAATCAAGAATATCAAGTAAAAAATGTTTTCTAAATATTTTTCTCTACTCGTTTCATCAGTTAATCACGGACTTGGATCCAATCTAGACTGTGGCAATTTAAATGCTCTCAACAGTTCCAATTCAATTGGCAACACCAACAATCATGGTAACAACAACAATATAAACAATTTACTCTCAACACGGTCCAATGTTGGCTCTTCATCGTCCTCACTATTTTACGAAGTAAACTCTTCGAGATCATCTTCTTCATCTTCCCTTCTCGATCCAAACACTCATTCAACCTCATCCTCATCAACAACAACACCTCGTCAACACGTTCACTCGTCATCTTCATCCTCATCAACAACAACTTCAACTACATCTTCAAGCCAATCAACGCCATCAACAACAACAATCAAGGAATCGAAAAAGTTGACTCAAAGTAAGTTTCCATTTCAATTTCCTAGTAAATCAGTTTCATCCAAATTCACTCATTTCTAAACCCTTTCAACTCGACCGATTTTGCAATATTGCAGTTAATTGACAAGTTATCGATAATTATTGACAGGTAATTTCTGATTAATCCGGGAAGGATGAGAAGTGAGAGAAGAAGACAAAAAGTTCACTTTTCCTGAAATGCTTTTTCAATTGACGAGGAAATTCCTTTTTCCGTTTCCTTCTCTTCATAATCATTATAATCATAATAATCATGATTATCATTGGAATTTTCAATCGATAATGCAAAGATGAAAAGATGATCAAATCATTTGCAACTCTTTAAATAATGTTTATTTGTCTAGTTAATTTCAACAGCTAATCACTAATTAAAATAGCGATCAATTAGCAACACAAAAAGCAGCAAAACAAAACATTCATATCTGGGTGTTTCAATATTATTAGCTATTCTTGTTCAATCCATTTCCTGTGAGAATAAAGTAATCATGAAAAAATTTGCCAACAATGATTTTTAAATGATAACCAGATGAGCTCAGTTAATTAGAAGCAATTAGTTAAGATGAGAATGAATTCAATTGCAGGCTCGAGTGAATCAACTTATTGATATATCTAATTGTTTCATCAATTGTAAAGTGTGAGAATCAAATTAAGCAAAAAAAACAAAAAACTGCTCAAAACTAAAGATGCCCAGTGAAAACGGAAGCTTCTGAACAAGTCTGATAATCAAAAAGTGGTGAAACTAAATATGCAACTATTTCCAATCATTACATGCATCTTGTAGAGAAGCTAAAAGCCCGTTTTCCCAGGCTCATCATTGCATTGTGACAAGATGTTTCTCAAAGAAACCAATAGATACAGAAACACGCTGCTCAAATGAGCTTTTAAAGGATAAAGACCAAAACTGCCTAAGAAATAGATTTTTTCAAATCCTTGTCTAAGATGTAAAATTTTATGCTAACCTGTGGTGAAAAATTATGTACAAATTGTTCATTCTTTGTTTATTTAATTAATAATTGATCAATATTTTCAAAGTTGGTCTCTATTGATAGCCAGGGATCAGAGGCTCTTTCGTATGTAAGATAATCCTTTCTAATCCGCCTCGTTCATTTTAAATTTGAGATTAGCCACGAGGCTTTCAAGATAGCTAGCATTGAATTTTTTGAGATTATTTTTGATTCTTTTGTTAATTGCTCGGAATCCTGAGTGACAAATCGACCTGAATTAACACAATTATTTAAATGGCCCTTAAAGTTTCAATTTGTGTTAATGTTGGGACTTCACGCTTTCAAAACGTGTAAGTTTGAAAAATTATTGGAAATTTTTGTTGAATTTTATCAGCATTTTCGATCATTTCAAAAAATCGTAAATGTTGGATAACTTTTGAACCATAATACGGATCGATCTCAGATTTAAATCCAGTATTGACGCAAACCTGATCCCTATTTCCTGAAAATTTCAGGCTTATAGCTATAAAACTTAATAGAAATTCCAATCAAACTATTTGTAACATAATTTTTCCTCACAGGTTAATTCCAAAAATTAATTCCATTTTTCGATATGATGTTGAGTTTGAGTTTTGCGTTATCAGGTAAAAAATCGCGAAATGTTGAAAATGGCCTGAACCAGTTTTGAGTGACAAAGTATTTTGACTTTTTTGAATACTTTCGACTATATTATGCCTAAAAAATATATCAGGATATTTGTATCATCGGGGCGTCTATGACTTTTTTGATAACGCTCGATTTTTTGCGGGTTTTTAGCCTTTTGGTCACTTAAATGATTTGAGGGACAAAGTATCTTGAATATTTATCATATATTCGACAACGCTCTATCCAAAAAATGTATCAGTATAGCGATATCATCGATATCACTATTTTTCAATCCTAAGAATATTAGTTTTCTTGAAAAATTGCATCTATGCCCGGATGATACAAATATCCTGATAGGTTTTTTGAATACAGCATTGTCGAATATATGATAAATATTCAAAATACTTTGTCACGCAAAACTGGTTCAGGTCATTTTCAACATTTCGCGATTTTTTACCTGATAACGCAAAAACTATACATCATATCGAAAAATGGAATTAATTTTTGAAATCAGCATAAATTTTACATCTTAGACGAGGATTTGAAAAAAATCTATTTCTTAGGCCGTTTTCCCTATTCTTTTGGTCCTCGTCCTTTGAATTTTAATAACGAGCTAACGACTGGACCAAAATCTATGATTTTGCGTCTGGATCTTCAAGACTCGAATGGAATTCGATTATTGAGGTCAAAACTTCAAAATCTCGTTTATTAAACTTTCTGATTTTTGCCAGAAAATGCGCAAATTAGTGATTAAACCTGATTTTCATCAACCTAATGGAATTCTAGTTTCTTTTAATGAGATCCTCTGAATGACTCACTACCTCACAAACTAAAAAAGCAATTTCTGGCCTGAAAAAAGCAATATCTAAAAAAGTAGCTAAAACGGCGCATCAAAAATTTGAAAAAATAGCTGATTTTTAATTTTTGCCCCTTGTTGTCACAATACAGGAATACCAATTTGGTAAATTTGATTAATTCAAATCCATTTTACCTCAGAAGTTATCAATCAAAAAAATTTTTAAATATCTGAATTAAAAAAGTTATCGAACTTTAAAGTTTAAAAGCCCATTTGAGTACCGTGTAAGTCCAAGTTTATCGCAAATTTGCTCAGAAAACAGTTGAACATTTGCGCCCAAGTTTGACTCAAGATTTCGCTTTCAAATTGAACCTTGACTCGATTCCAGTCATTTCATCATTAGGACAAGTGTTGCAACTTGATTAGTTATTTGCGACTTAAGTTGTGAGAAAGGGTGAGAAAAGCAGGACTTATTTTTTGCAAAAACGCAAAATTCAAATTTGAATATTTATTCAGAGCAATGTTTTCGTTTTCAGTTTTTTACCTGTTATGTTTTATCTAATATCATTGTTGCATAAGACCACAAAGCGATTTACTTTTCGAATTGATTCGATTCTAATGAAAATTTCTTAGTCCATCAACTCATTAGTATAGAGCATAGGAAAGCAATCAGATAAAGTAGACTTAAGTTGATAAAAGCGCAGATGAATGTTGCCATAGATTAAGACGACCTCAGATTAAAAGGAAACGATAAAAGGAACAAGATGCTTCGAATGTACATCAACCAATTTTACCCGTTTAATCCTTAATCAGATAAACTGCCAATGGTCAACTTAATCCGTGAAAAAAAACAGTAAATAACAATCAATTGCGTCCAGCCTAATCGATGACAAAAAATTAACAGAAGCAAAAAAAAGTGTAAAGAGAAGCACAAAAAGGCTTTAATACTCAAACATAATAATATTATATCACGCCTGACTATTATTTATTGTTATTCAATCATGGGTTATTCAAATGATACGAGTGTAAAGGGGCGAGTAAAATGTCAACACACAGCGAGAGAGAGTTACAAAGAACTGGCAAACAAACAAAAAAACCCAATCACACCAAAAAAGCTGGTCATTTTGTTCGGCAAGTCACTATCTGGGTTACAATCCTTATTCAATCTCTTTTGGCCCTTTCATGAATCTCAATCATAATATTGATCTTTATCAATGATTCAAATATGATAAATGAGGACAGTTTTGCTAAAGAGTTGTGATTGTCAATGATGTTGTCCTGATTGTAAACCCGTAAACAATGATAAGTCAAGGAAGGAGAGAAAAAAAACGAAAACAAAAATTTTCTATTGAAAAGCAAATGTCCAAACAATAAACAAATTGTTTATTCAAATATCAATTCTTTGACTTTTGCCTTTTCCCTCATCAACTGACCAACTTATTCCCATCATCGTCATTATCAACATCATCACCTTTTCCATCAACATTTACTTTGATTCAAAAGTCACGCGACTTTACATCATTATTATGCACAAGTTAACGATCGCTTGTTTATTGATAACTTGAAAGAGGTAAACATGCTTTACTGGAAAACTGTCAAACTTTTTTTGGACCATTTAGGTTTCACTGGAAAGGTCAATATTAATGTTGATGTTACATGTTGCATGTTAACTGATGAAATGGCAATTTTGGATAACATTTTTATATTAATGATAATGTTTCACAAAGTTCATGTTTCATTCAGTTTTGTCTTTGATTAATGCATTTTCATTTTCATATTAACATTATTCATTCTGTTTCATATTATTCAGACTTTTCTTCTTCTTTCCAAATGAAATGTCATTAAGTCAACATGAAATATTATTATGATTACATTTTGCATAAGAATTTTCAATAATAATAAAAGTATTCAAATGTTCACATTTGCTTTCCTTCAATAAACTGCTTCTATATCAGCCTTGAGCATTAAGATGATAATAATGAGTATAAAAGGTTTATTATATTAAATATTATGATAAAATTTGATTCAACTGCGCCTTTCATTTACTTTTCATTTGCTTTTGCTTTTGCTGTTTTAAGATTCAATTGATAATTTATTGATGTTATTATTGTTATTGTTAACCAGTTTTGGCCTTCTTCAATCAGATAACAGTTGGAGTTGATGAAAATTTGTTGCCAACATGATGAGCATCTTGACAATCTTTGGCCGTGCTAAAAGATAGAGTAAAAAGTTGACAATAGCTTGGAGGTAAAAATGATATCAAATGGCTACAATAACAATAATATGAATGGAAGAAGAAAAAAAGTTGGACCTTCTTTCCTTTGGCTTTAGTTTTTACACGCAAACATTGAACAACAAAGTGCATCAAATTTACCTATCAAATTGTTGACTTGCCTTAAGGTGTGATCATGATGATGATGATGAATGTTTCAACGATAAAACTGTCAGAAAATGTTTAGATAATATTAATGGTTCAAAGTGGATAACAAATATGGATAAAATTGTTGATATTGAAGACCAAAAAGTTTCCACTGTTTACTGAGTAAAGTTATCCAGTAATTTTGTTTTCTGCTTACAATTATTTTTGCCACACAATTCTCA